AATTCTAAGTCGCGTTGCTTTTTGCCCTCCTTGGGCTTTTGCAAAAGAGAACAGCGGAAAATCCTAATTGGCTCGCGAGTTTTTCTAAAGGGATCCCCTCCCCCTCCCCCACCCGCTCCGTTCCGCTCGGGATCCATGGCAAATTTGAATAATCGTTTTGTTGAGGGTATGCAGATTGTTTAAAGGAGGCCTTAAAGTCAATTTCTTTAAGAAATCGATTTTGGAGCGTTAGAATATTCAAGCAGGCTCGAGTGTACGCAGAAAAAAAACAATTTTCTTTTTTACCTACTTGTAGATAATTTGCTTTTTTAGAACAGCAGTAGTAGCTAAATTTGAGTCCATTGCCAATTTTTTTTCAAACTTACTTGCCGATATTGTTATTAGCAAAAAAAATTCCAAAGGTTTGGGCAGACGATATTCCATAGAATTAAGAAAAATTTTTAAAAATCATTCCAAAAAATATATATAATTGGAAAAAGGATCAATGATATGAACAGAAAAATTGTCTCTGCTAAATTCAGTGTTACTCATTACCAAGAAATTCCTTGTGATTGATCATCAATTTAAAGGATATCCAGTTTTCAATTGCTTATGAAGATGCGTGCTACGTAAAAGTATAAATATGGTGCGATATTCTTCAACCTTACAATTCAATTTTTACTCGAAGTATACCACTTATTTTCTTTCTAAATCTGAAATTAAAAATTGATAAAAAGATATTGCAAGAACACTTATTTCTTCATACGTCGGCAGTTATGTGCACATGCCTCTAAATAAAATCTTTGAAGGTCATTTATATAGGCCATAATCGATCTACATAAGCGGTTTACATAAACGTTTGCAAGGTGATAGTAAAGGACGAGTGCCTCGTACATTATAAAATAGTTTTCCTTACTAGTTTACCATTGAAAACTTTGTACTGCAGAGAAAGAAAAGAATGTATCCACGTAAAAGATTTAGTGAGTCAAGAGCAGCGTTGAAATCAAAGCATCATAAAATGGTTTTCCGCATAAAGCAAAGTATTCAACTAAAAAGAATTTTGCTTGAAACGAACGAAGCGAATTGTAAGGTAATGGCTAATAGAACTGGAAGCGAGCTTGAAAGGTCCGCGCTACCCGGACAATGCGAGATAAGATAAGGGGAGAAGCAGTAGGCAGGCTAACGCACGAGGAGCCTGGAAAGGGCGGCTGTTACGACGCGGAAATAAAAGCGGCACTTTTTCCGCTACAAATTCCAGCCAAATGAATTCTGGATTCCTACGCGGTCGCTGGGAAACCTTTTGAAGAGATGATACATATAAACGTGGAGAATTTTTCGCCGCGGGGCCATTTGAATTTTTCAGCGAAATCCTTCCGCATACTCGCCTCCTCGTCGTCGACATACATTTTGCTTGCTCCGAAGTGCTTGCGGAGCACACGTGCGATGTTGCATGCTCAAGCCGCGATCCGCCGGGGAATTATTTATGAGTTGGACCTTGGCATAATCCGATGGTTTATTTTTGCCAATCGAGAGAATATCTAAAATAGCCATGTAAATTGCTTAATCATTTTTTTCGCTTGTGACTTTGATAATTATCTTTCTTTCTGTTTGTTTTGGTTGTTGGTTTGGCACACTGCTTGATTGAAAACAAAACCAAAGTGATAAGCCTTGACGTAGCTGTGTCGAAGTAGTGTAAGCGTGGAATTTTTATCTTTTCGCGTTCGCAGCAGATTTAGGACATAGATAGTTCGATGAAAATGTTTGCAATGCGATAAACATTGTTTTGGCTGGAATCTTATTACTTCTCACCAGAGGAGTGAGCAAAAGAAAAATACGAATTTTCGTTTCATCTTTTAAAGATCAAGATTTAGTCAGACACAGAAATTTCCACTATTTATTACGAGTGCATGCTCCTCTTATATCATGCCACCCTTGACCTACTTCATACGGGATTTTCCATCTTTATACGTTATTCAAACATCATTAATACATAATGTTACATAAAAAAACTTTCGGATTTACAGTAATTGCAATAATTAAAAAGGAATTTTCAAATTGAATAAAACCAGACTAATTCAGATAGTTAATAAAATAAATCATCTAATTCAAGACCTAACTTAATCCGGTAAAAATTGGTATGCACTGGATCCAATTGACGAAAGCTACAAATCAGCGTTAGTCGGCTTTATTTAGTTATATTAACTTTTTTTCGAACCAGTTAGACCAGTTTAAACCAATTACAGTATTAAATAAATTAATACTGTAATTTTCCATGACATTAACATAAACGAAAATTAAAATAAGTAAAGTTTACATTATAATTCATTATATAAATACATATTTGATAACAATAAAAATGATTGCAATGCAAGATCGACTACTGGAACAAAAAACATATCTAAAATCCTCAAGCTACGCAATCAATACACATTCTTAAAATCGGCCAAGAGATCGTTTTTCTACCGGTGCTAACGGTACATTTATATAATTTCTGAAAAATCATTACGTCAAATAATAAAACCGCATTCGCGCAAACGTGCCAATCCTTAGCTCTATAATGATTCGCAGATGCGCGATGAGTCAAACCAAAATTTAAAGGAGAGATGGTCATCGACATTGGACCACTGGCTTACAATCAAGTTTACTCACGTATTAATAGATAGCCATCGATGGTTTCCAAGATTCTTTAACCCAGTTCAAGCGTGTGCACGTGCTCAGACCTGCGACTGCTAAAATTTATGGCCCAGACAGTGCAGCCCCCAATTTCTGAGCGGCTTTGCTTTCCCTTCCTTAGTCATTTGTCAGTTATGTGATCCCGTGTTATACGTCTATGGCATTTATCAGATAATTCGTTATTATAGAAATGAATTAACTATTCATTGCAGTGTGTTGGTTTTTTGTCAAGTTCATGGAATAATTTAATTATTTGTTACCATGTTGCTGCTTAACATTGCTTACATCAGATAATCGATAATATTGCGAATTGGACTTATTTTAATTAGCCTTGGTATGTAGCTTATTTAAAGAAGTTATTTGACATAGATCACATTGTTTTCAATTTATCTAGATAAATTAAATTGCAAGCCTGGCAATGTTATGCTTTACTGTTCTCGCAGCATATTTCAATCCGAAATATGTCTCCTATAAGAAATATTACACACTTTCACTTTCAAATCTAACGGAAATTTCGTTTGCGCTTTTTTAATGATTAGCACTATTCTCCATCGCATTTTTGAAGAACCGTTAGTTTCGATGCTCATTCCTAAAATTTTAATAGACGTCCGAACGGCATATGCAAAAATGACTCATGAAACGTTAATCTTAAATGACTCATTAAAAAAAAATAAATTTTACGAACTGTAAAAAATTTACAGAAAATCATTTTTTTGGCGGCGAAGTCAATCGAAAAGTAAGATAAGATTCGATATCACAAAATAATAAATTAAATTTTCAAAGAACGAACGGTAGTAGACTTTACCTGGAAATATTTCGTCAGTGAGAGAAAAAGGCAAAAGAAGAAAGTAGGATCATTAGCGAGCACCTTTAACTCAAAAGTTTTTATCTGGTACATTGGAAAGACTGGCGGTAATCGAAATCGGAGAGAGTAGGGGTTGTCCAAAAGCTGTAGGAAAAACAAAAAGACGCATTGGCATATAATGACATGTGTGTCTGCGCGTCGATCACTGGTCGTACACACCTCGCCGAATAAAAGGCAAAAGCTTAGCTCTCTCTCTCTCTCTCTCTCTCTCTCTCTCTCTCTCTCTCTCTCTTTCTGTCGAGGCCTGCACTCGGTTTTATTAAAACGATACATTACGATTCAAAAGATCATATCTTACGAATCGTCTAGACGGCGCGGGACACCCTATAAAGCGCTCGCTCGCTCGCGACAGCAAGCAGCAGCCCCTTCTTTCCTATATATCTCATTCGCTCTCGTCTCGCCTCTTTCGTTCTCTCTCTCTCTCTTTCTCTCTCTCTCTCTCTCTCTCTCTGTCGAGCGAAGCGACGGCGTTCCATCTTTTTGCAACGTCTCGTCGAGGCGCGATTATTCGGACACCAGGTTTGAGGCCAGACGGATAGCCTTTTTTTGCACGCGCGGTCGCGCGCACACGCTGCTGTACACCGGTGTCGACGGGGAAAATTTAAGACTTTCCACCAATGGATGACTTTGACGTTTCTATTTTATTTCATCGCCACTCTGAAACTCATTTTCTCGGGTGATTTTTTGTGTTGGCAGAGTTTAATCTTGTTTTTGTCGATATCGATCGATCGCGAGAATTGAGCGTTCGCTAAAGCTACCGCACACTGCAATGCACGCTAAAAGAACGAAACTGCAAGCCTTGTCGTTTGGCACAATGAAAGTCTAGGTTTTCAAGCGGCTCACTGCTTTTCAGAATAGTGCCTATAAAAGCAGCCAAGTGCACCATGTTCAGAGAGAAGTAGCCTTTCCTGCAGATGCGTCAGAAGCTTTACAATTCAATCGCGCGCGAACAATGACAGCCTTGGAGGAAAGCTCGCAATAAAGCTTTACTAGGCAGCAGAGCAAAGAACGCAAGGCAAGGCATCAACCACTCGAGCAAAAGTAGGCCGTGAAAAATCAAAATTAAAGTCGTTCGCGGGGTGCGGGGCAGAGTAGAGAAAGAGAGAGAGAGAGAAAGAGCAGCAGAGGTGCGAAGCAAGGGGGATAAAGGTTTTTACGATAGCTTTATACGGGGCGTCTGGAGGAAATTTTTCTCGCCCCACCTATACAGAATCGTTCGGACGTTCCAGCAGCCGCCGCCGCACGCGTGTGTTGAGAGCACACCAGCACAGCCAGCGGCTGCGGCGGCGAGTAGGGAGAGCACAGAAGCTGCGCGCCTCCGTCTGCGAGCTGTCTGCTGTGTTTACCCCGAGCGAGCGAGCGCACGAGAGCGTAGAAAGGTGGGGCGCAGCGCGCGCGCACACATCACTCCGGTTTTTGCTCGCCGAACTTGTTAAAAGAGCACGCGAGCCGACGAGGGCCCAGAGACGAGCGATGACTTTTTCGCGCGGTACATCGTGGTATAGAGACCCAGTGTCATGTCCGACTATATAGCTTTGCCTGTCATACATACTTGATTGATTTGTCGCTCGCGGCTTTCCTCCTCGGTAACGACTCCAAGCTCTGCAGTTCGCTCGAACACGGTGTGATTTGTTTCCAAGGCTCGATCGGTTCTGGCCAATCGGTTGTGAACATTTCTCTCTGGTCTTCGACTGCTTAGCAAGGCGGGAGCCAACGATGACGATGATTTACAAGCTGTTGGTCACCGTCGCGGTGATCTGTGAGTGCGCGTTGGCCCATCACCTGCGCCATCACGGAGACGCAAAGAGCTTGCAGGAGAAGGAGCACCTGCCTTACGGCTACAAGAAGCTCGACAAAATGATGAACAAGGCCATACTGCAAATAATCCTCGGGGAGCTGCATCCCTCCGACGTGCTTTTGCTGAAAGCTCTGAATTACACGCTCGAGGAGGTGATGGCAATCCGCGAACACGAGCTAAGTAAATTGAAAGCCGAGAAAGCGTTGGGTGGTTCCAAATACCAAGTGCATCATCGTTCCTTTCAACGTGACGCAAGCCTCGACACCTACAACAAACAAGCGGTCTACGATTACGAGAACGCGCAAACGGAGGAAGACAACAAGCCGACGACCGAGGACAGCGCGAGGCAGACTTTCGATCGCGCAATGGAACCCCACGTGGTTTTCAAAATACGCTACGACGATGCGGACTTCGATCCGGCCTCCGATCAAACAGCCAAGACTATTTTCAAGAACCATCGCACCAAAACGATCTTCGTACCCGATCGCGGCGTCAACTCGGCTGCTAGGCAGTCCTTTCAAGTTGACGGGGACCTTAGCCCTGGTGCTGCTCTCAATGTTGCTGCTACTTTAGAAGCCACTTCCAGTGGTAGTGTCAATCTCGAGGACTTTAATAAGCAAGCCATTGCCGATTATGAAAATCTCGTACCCAATGGAGAACAGGAGGATAAACACGAGTTTGCTAATCAAGAGAATTTTTTAAGATCGATCAATGATAGTAGTAGTACTACTAGACCCATCGGAGAATACGAAGGCTTGGAATGGATTGGAGATGATGTATATCGCGTCGTACCCGAAGCTATCGAGGCGATGCTTAATTACGAGGATCCAGAACAAATTTCATCCGCCGATGCGCTCAATGATACGCTCGAGTATCAGAATGATGCTGAGGCTGGAGATGCTGCAGCTGCTGGCAACTTTACCGAGAATATGAATCTCACGTCGTATCAGCGACTTGCACTCGCTCAGCGAAGAGAGTAAGTTTACCTTCCTTTTTTCGGTTATTATTTCGTCAGCACTTAATTTCGTCTGGCATCTATACATTTTGTTATTCCTTTCTGCGCGTAGACATTATTTATCTCATAAAGCACCTGATAATTATTAAATGCAAATTATTTTCGCCATTTTAGCGAAAATTTGACCTCGATTTTGCATAGGTAAGTGCAACGGAAATAAAAAGTTTCAGTTTTGTTTTGTTCAAATACCCTCGCAACGCCTGAATTTCATTAACGTTTATTAACGGCATCTAAAATCGTGTTTGTAATTAAACTCAAAATAACATTCGCTATTGTTTACACTTTCACGCTATTCAATAAAAAACTATTTTTATGCGCTTCACTACCAAGTAGATAAATCACTTAAACATAGAATTCACAAATCTCGCATTAGCATACAAAAATATCTCGCAGCTTTCGTCGAGCACAGAAAATGTACATGACAACGTGCCTATTTCTTTTCGCGCTTTCATGTGTTATTGCAAGCGCGTATACTACTAACTAAATCGACTGCTAAAATTAGTTTGGGAGCTGAAATTGAGAATGAGTTTTGAGAGGAAACGACGTTTTCCAGAATAGATATTTTATTTATTGCATCCCTCTTTTAACTCGAGCAAAATAGAAAGCTATTATAGTGAAATTCAATTATTTTTAATTTAATCAATAATTTTCACAATTATCACTTAAAAGAGAGATATATAATGAAATATTTTACATTGGCTTGGATTTCTTGTTTGAAAATTAAGTAGATTCAACATGTCGAAATAGTTGCGTCGATTGATAGCTGAAACGGCATCATCAAAAATATGTTCAAAGCAACGATATTTCTCGTTTATGTGCATTAATTTTCGTGAATGTATGAAAATATATTGTATAGGATTATTCAGATTTTGTATAATTTATCAATCAGTTTTATAAATACTTCAACAAGTGATTTTCAAAATGAAACGTTTACGAAAATCTGAATAATATATTTATTGCTATATGTAACATTTACGAAATTTTACTTTTAAATGGAAACGATTCCGTCTTTTATATAACGATGTTCATATAGTATAACACAAAAGTAAAAGCTTTCAATTAACACAAGCGCCAATGACTGGTTACAATAGATTATGCACGAGGTCACAATGATAATTTAAATCTTTGTGGCTGTTTAAAAAAATGTATCATCGGGAATTGTTCACCAGGAAACAATATAAATGACATAATTTAACAATAACCAATTTGATTGCTTGGATTCGAGCTAAAAATCAGACTGAGAAGAGAGAAGGAGAGAAAAAAGACTCTTATAGTACGTAATAGAAATACCGCTACGGGACGTTTTTTTTCAGCACGCAGGCGGCTCGTCGGTCCTTTTTTCCTTTTTTTGCTAATCTATATCCACTATTCGCTAGCCGCAGGTGACTGTTTCTTTTTTATTTGGGTAGTCTAGACGTGAATAGCCGGAGGCATTCAGTCAAAAGTTGCTTGAATCCTTAAAGACTTTGTTCCTGTTTGTGCGGCTCATTCAAAAAAGGAGAGGGGCGACTTCATTCATAGAAATCTTTTCCATTCGTGCTTATAATTCGGACATTCGCAGTCGCTGAAACACACACGCTTCCTTTTTGAAATGATGATTTGTCGTTACATCAGCGAAAGTTTGTACAAACAATAGAAGAAAACCAGGTAAAAGGATGCGATGATGTTTGGTGTCTGTCGGAGCTTACGCAATGCGCGCTCTTGAATTTCAGCATGCTGACCTTGCAAAGTCGCATCTCACGTAGACGAGACGCGCCAACGATTGAGGTATTTCCGAATCTCCGGTATGCGCAATATCGCGCGTCGCTTTCAACGAACCTCTTTAACGCTGCATTTTGCAAGCAAACAGCCACTAAATTGCGTTACCAGTAAAACTATTCTTTTTATTCAATTAATGCTCCAAATTACGCCAATAATAGTAATTGTTCAGATGCAACAAGTTTCCCCGACAGATTCCTTTTCAAAATATCAATTTAGAATTTTCGAAATATTTGAAATAATTATGCAATATTGATTGCTATCGCAGCTTGTTACGGCTACTGCATCTCAAAGTAAACATATAATTCTAACATATAATGGGCTAATCTCTTTATTTACTCCATTATAAATGACAGGGTAGAAATATGAAAAATATAGTGATCGATAAATACTGTCAATTTTTTCATGTAATAGAATGGCGTTAAAAAACCTGGGGAAAGTCAGAGGCTACACTAGGTTTCATATCAGACTAAAAGAATATTATTATTTTTTAATTAGTGGTTTTTCAAAATATATCATAATATCATATTATTCTAACAATCTGACAATACGTCTAAAAGCATATTACTTTTGAATGATGCGTGTCGAATTGTTTTATGAATGATGACAGTTGAATCGTTGTAAACTGACATCTATCTTTAGCTCTAAGAATCAAGGATTTTGTCATCAAATAACTCAAAACTCTTAAAGTGAAAGCTGGCAAGTTTACTTTTTATCGTTTAGTGATATTATTTTACGCTTGTTGAAGTTGTCCTTTAAAAGCTGACACTGCGTTTCCAGTAAGTTTTCATTTTATTTCGATGATTACACCTGTTAGGAAAAAAATGATTCCGTAATTTTAAAATAAAAATTTTCTTTTCGAATGTTCTATTGCGAGATTGCAGTTTTACACGAGTTAAAATTACAGATGCTCATTGTTATTACAATTATTTTCAGCCAAGCAACGAAATGAAAGTGACCTTGCTATTTTTTTTGTATATTTACATTTACTATCAATATTTGCGAAAGGTTATTAATGGAATATTTCATGCATATGCATTTAGCATATGATTGAATTTTTCTATAGGTAAGATATCCATAAGATCGTGATATGCAACTTTGGAAGTTGCAGCAGTGTCATAAATGATAGTGTGTTTCCACGGCGTGCAAAGAGGGAGGGGGTACGTGGTGCTTGGGTTGTTGGTCGGTGTACATTTTTTTTCTTCTCTTTTTTTTACGAGCGCCTCGCTCGTTAGTCTCTGGTTTCCCAGACGGCGGCCAGACGAAGGTAGCAGGCATGCATCGTAAAACGCGTGACTTGGCCGCCAGATAAACGTGCGTGCCGCCGTCGTAAAAATGCCAGCGCGTACGCATATTCGACTACTACTCGCGCGAGAGACGACCAAACAAAAAGCGCCAAGCAATCATCATTGAAAAAAAAATAACCGTGGCGACTTCTTAATACGCGTGTCTTCTCACCTGCATATTGACCTTTTTACTTGTCTCTTCTTTGTTTTTTAGATTAGGCAAGCGAGGAGATACGTAGATTTATTTTTAAGCTTTAATTGTCGACGGAGAGAGGCGACGAGACGACATAAGCGAATATTATTAAGAGAGTGCGAAACGGGAATGCGTTGTTTATTTTTAAACACGTCGCGAGAGGAAATTGTCGAAAACCGGTACAATTAAACTTTCGCGTCTTTTGTCTCTCTTTGTGCCATTTACCTCTTCTTCTTCCTGTCGCGTCTGTTGCAGTCGAGAGAGAAAAAGCAGGCCGGACAGTATAAATTCTTTCCCCTTTGATTGCGCGTCTCTCCATCCCCGCGACTTCGTTTCATTCGTCTGTTGTTGTTGAATAAACTGTCCGAGTTTTAGTGGTTCTTTTGTTATTCTTCAAATTGATGAATTTTACTTTGCATACTTGATAATCGATTGAGTAATAGGTAGAATCAACTTTTGCAATTACGAGTGCGACAATGTTTTGTCGGATTTTATGCCAATGGTTTTTTTAATTAGTTTCGATGGTGGTTGCGCGATAATAATTTTCATTTAGCTGTCATTTAGATAAGAATTTGCTCTAACCAAATAGTAAAAAAACCGATACGCCAAAGTATAACTAAAACGTAAGAGAAATAAAATAAGTCTGTCGTGAAAACTAGAGAAAAAGCAACAAGGTGCAAAGCCCCTATCAACACTTCTAAACAATGAAAAAAACTGGCGTGGTGACACGCACGTGGAAAACACGATGTAGTGCGAGAAATAAAGTGCAAAGTTGCAAAAAAGGAAGACGTAAATCGGTGTGTATGTGTCTGCAAGGCCGATTTCTTCGCATGTCGGGAGATAGAACGTTATACCGGTCAACGGTCGACAGATGAGATTCCGGTTGAGGGAAATCGGAGAGAGAAGAGAAAAAGAGAGCGAAAAGAGGATTAGCGTGTGTTGCGCGACTCTCTCACTCTTCTTCTCGCGTCAGCAGCAGGCAGGCAGTAGCAGCAGCAGCAGCAGCGGCAGCAGCAGCAACAGCAGCAGCAGCAGCAGCAGCAGCAGTAGCAGCAGTGGTCTAGTCGGCGTCTAGCCGCACTGCTCTCGGATGATTAATGCAAAGTGCCGCCGCCGCCGCCGTCGCCGCCGCCGCCGACAGGCGCAACAGGTATCTCCCCCGGCCTTTTTCCTTTTTCCCCTCGTGCATCTCTTCTCCTCTTGCAGCTGCTTGCATAACTCTGTTATGAGGCGCTCATTCGCTCTGTCTGTATGCTCGTTCGTCTTCTCTCTCTTCTCGAGATGATACTCATCCGATCGAATCCATGCCGCGTGACTCTCGGCCATTTTAACGATGATTTATTTTGACTTTTAAAGGCTTTTAATGAAATTATTAGGTTTATGTCCTCTCGTAAATTAACAAAGTAGAGATCAATTTTTTGAAGTGTGATCACGATTACAATTTATTAACAGCTTGAACTGGAGTGATGCAGCGTCATATTTAATTGTATTTTTAATGCCGAATCTTTGCGTTTTTTTGTCACTCAAAAGTATTATTTTTTTTATTGCAGTCAAGGACAAAAAGCTATCGAAGACATAAAGATGCGCGTCTTGGCCATGACAGGAAGATTTAACCTTAGTTCACCCAACAATCAGGTGCAACGTGAAAAACTGACCATGTTCTCGCCTTCCTGTGAGTATTGAAACTTGAAAGGTCTTAAACATAATTAAACGACTTGTGTCACAGTCAACGCTCATTATTTTTTTACTAGGTCAAACGCCACGGAACACAGACGCGGAAGCGTGGTCGGACTCATACCTCATGAACATGCACTTCCAACTGAACCTGACCTCGGGCGAGCACGTGCTCGCGGCAAAGTTACGTCTGTACAAACTGCCCCAAGAAAGTCTCGCCTCAAGCTCATCGACGTCAACAAGCAGTAGCATTTACGAAGAAGACGAGGAGGACGAGAAGAAAATTAGAGTATCGGTTTACTTCTACACCAAGTCCCTGAAGAAGCACCGAGGTGATTATCGAATTAACCCCCTTTCTTTAATGAGCGCACGCGTACACATGCGGCTGAAAGACCTCCTCTTTTGAATATTTAAAGCCCCGAGAGGGAATCTCGGAATTTACGCGCGAGAAGGCATTTGCATAAGGGATTCTGGATATGTTAACTAGTTTAAATACCGCGCGCCTACGCGATTTGACGTGGCCACGTCTTGCTGCAGTAAACAGGAAAGTTATTAAGGTGTTCCTTTTTCTCATCAATTAGTATGCAACTTTATTATCGTCTTATCCTGAATAATATGCAGACACTTTTGAAAGATTAGTTTATACCGATAAAATTTTATTTGCTTCTCTCTTATTGGTATTTATTATGTTGCCTTCATTATCATTTCTCATTCGTCAATCGTCCGGTCACCTTAAAAGCTCTGAAGGCTGAATTTCTTATAGAAATGAATTACAACATTCTTCAATCATTAAAACAACTTTTTTTCATTTCATAAAACTCTCAATGTATGCTAAGTATTTACAATTATCAATTCTTATTTTTAGTGAAAAAACGCTTGATGGATTCGATCGTAACACCACTGACAGCACAAGGTAGCCACTTAGCCCTTGACGTGCGACAAGCCTTGCGCTTTTGGCGACCAAATGCTCAGCAGCATAATAACAGCAACCATGGTTTGGTAGTGCAAGTCGAGGATCAAGACGGTAGAGCTCTCAAACCCTCATTATACATCCAGGAGCCAAACTGTCAGACGGGTCCTAGACAGAATCCAGATGAGAAGGCATGTGAGTGTGTGCTCTAACAATACTAACTGCACTATAGCTTTTGTCGCTTTTTTTTTAACTTGTGTTTTTCTATATGTTTTTTTATAATCTAACTGGATCAATCTCGTAATTGAAAAATATATTTTCCATTAAAAATTTTATCTATTTATCGCTTCTGATAATAACGTAATTTATCATTTTTGACGATATCGTAGATTAATTTAAAACAGTTAATATAAAATGTGACGAGTTTAATCAAGAATAATTTACAGCTGATCGAATATTCAAATCAATATTTTATTTTCAATTCATCTCTCAGATAATTTTTTGAAATCAATTGAAAACTGAAAGAAAGAATTTCACACGATGACCCAGATGAGATGTGCAAAATAAAATGAGAAGGCATAGGCACGTAACACGATATAATGCCATGCTTTGCGAATGTTCTGTACGTGTGTGCTTGGGCAGTTCGTGCGAAACTCGACGTTGGCTCTAGCCAAGTCATCGGTTTTTTACACGTCAAGCTCACACAGATTTCAGCATGCTTTTGTGGTTCTCTCTGTATGTCTCTTTTTTTTGTGTGGCCTTGTCTAGCGTTCTTACATACTAGTATCTAAATGAAACGTTGGTCTACGCACAAAGAATGTATGCGTAATTTAAACAGTACGTCGACGTCGTTGTTTGTTAAAATAACATTAAGTCAATACAAATCAAATAATGACATTTGCTTCGTTTGCTTACAGACCAATTCGTCCCTGCACTTTTCGTTAGAGCCTGCATTCGTTATGTTCGCTTCGTAAATGGAAAAATGGAGATGTACGTACAATGTCGACAGAGGCATTGACCGACAAAAACGATACCACAATCAGCACGAAAATTGAAAGACTTTTGAGTGTTGAGTGAAGAAAAACAACAAAAGAAAAATTAGTATTTGTACTAAATATATATGCATTATCCAATCAGTTTAATTGATCAGGTCCAGATACTTAAAATCGCTGCGGTGAATTTGTTTTTTGATATCCGAGGAAAACGATAAAACCGAGCGGTATATGACTTTGATAAGAGCGTGAATCCTACGCGCAGGTTTTGATGTTACGACATGCTGTAAGTCGCTAGCACTGATGAACCACGTACAATCGAGCGGCTCATCAAATGGCGAGGACAACGACGCAGACTGTTTTTTTAATTATTCTAACGAATCGTAGATTACGACATATCTTAATAATTGATAAGATAAAATATGCGGACTCGCGAAAGTCAAGAGTGCAATAATGCTGTTGACGGAATCGAGTCATTTTTAAAGTGTCTGAGTGTGTATTGATTGATGTATTGTAAATAGTTTCGTTGTTTAATTAACTCCGAACACACAATTTAACTTTATACTGCTTCCTCCTTCACGTTACAAAACTACGTTGCACTTACTTTTAACGTGTAGGTTTCAAGCTCCAACGACTGATATAGCCAAATGTAGATAATAAGCCCTGCGTGCGAGACTTTATATATATTTATGATATTTTTTTTGCAAACAAAAGAGAATGAACTTGTAAGGTTTATTTTAGCTTTTTTCTTTGTTGTACTTTTCTAAGCAGCTCATGAAGTTGTTAGTATTTTATAGATAAGCGAGATCAATGCAGAAACACTATGTTTTTATGTGTACTTGTAAATAATGTATATTTTGAATCTTTTTTCTATTTGAATAAGGAAATAAATATATTGATGGAGATTTTTTGTTGCCTGACTTAATCAACCTTATACCCCTTAAAATTTTATTTATAAGCTGATATTTTCAATAGACAGTAAGGTTTAGACATATTTATGATATTATCGATATTTAAATGGTAAGTATAGTGAATACCTACCACGGGTGCTATCAATATAAATATATCCGGATGCGCAGAGGCTCTATACTGCAACTGCGCAATGTGCAGTTGCTACTGCGCAACCGGACTTGTGCATCTCAAAAAGACCCCAGTTTTATACCTTTTAGCGCTATCTTGCGAGACACAAATCAAGTCGCTACGTGGATTCAATGTTGGTAAAGTCACTTTCTAAATTCCAATTTACAAACGTAAATTAAATTCATTCAAACAATATCAAATCATTGAAAAATGTTGGCTGATCATTTTTTTTAATTTGCCGTGAAAATATTTTCAACGTATTTAACTTATTGTAATAATTTTGAAAGACACAATCTATAATTAAGATACTATTTGTAAATTTTAAATATTTATCACTTTTAATTAGCATATTTAAAAGTCGTATAATCCAGTAACAGCGGCATTTCGAGAATCCACTATAGAAGAATAATAATAATATTTTATCATCGATATACTAGAAAGAAGAATGTCTCAATTGGCTGAAGCATGGTTGGAACTTCAAAACATGTAAAGCACTTCAAATTTTGAGCTTCGAAGAAGCATTTCTTTGTTATAAAACTTGTACAGCGTGTCAAATCTTGGAAGTACGCGACAACTCACTAAGAATAGAAGCTGTTTCTATAGTTCAACTAGTCTTATGTAAATCGCACGCAGCGAAAGAAGAATATCCTTTAACCTTCCCACCGATGCCGGTCAAAAGGCAATTGACAAAAGATTTGAATAATTTAGTTTTGGGTGGATACCTGGAGATTTTTAAACACCTATCTGCTAGCGTATCAATGCTTGCACATGGGTTCTGTTTATAAATGTTCGAAATAATAAAGTAAATTAAAATGAAAGTACACAGTTGTCGAAGATCAATGAAGCTGAGGATAAAATTTCGTAACTTATTTAGGAATTTCGATTCGGTAAAATTGCTCGAAGCGTATCTTGCTGAAATTGTTTCGGTCGATTGTTTTTTTTTTTTTTTTTTATTGAAGTATAAGCGTAGCTAACAATCGCAATTATTGCGCATTTTCTTACACGTACCAACAAGTTTTAATTAGATAGATATCTTCAACTAAAGATTGAGAAAGCAATTGGTTTTATCTGTTATATATTGGGTTGCTGCAATCGTAGGTAATTCATGTAAATTACTTTTGAAAGAGTGTAGCTAATGTTTCAATTGACGCAATTGATTCGCGCGCGATTTATAAGAATCATAATGATTAAAGTGAGTCCCAACGATGAAACCATAAATATGTAATTTTTAATTTCACAGGACCTATTAATAATCGCTTTGTCTCTTAAGATAACTATTTGCAATTGTTATATATTATATTCACATCACATAGATAAAACATAATTTAAAAAATGAGATGTTATAATAAAAGATTATAGTATGTATTCTTCACTGTTACTAATTAGCATTTACATTAAGTTTTATTTAATTGAGTTTCGTATTAGAAAATATTTTTCAGCGTATTGCTCAAGAGAATAAATAAGTGCAAGAACAATCACCGAATGCGTTCTTTTATTTAAACTCAAACAGCGTTCTTTCAAATGCTCTAAGAAAATTTCAATGCCTTGTCTGGCAACCTGCCAATGCTTCCGAGTATCACAAGACTATTTACCTCTCGGCTCTTGATCTCGAGACTCGACTCTTGACAAGCCTCGCACGTCAGAGGGAGCCATCTAACAAGCGGCATTTAAAAATCGCGCGTCGCGCGTGCGCGAGCCTCGCGCCAATAATATAGTGCACCTTTAACAATCCGGAGCAAAACAGTTCGCGACGAGGAGGCGGCTTGCTTACTTGTGTTTTTAAGCTTGTTTGTTCGGCACAAGTTTTGTTAACAGGATGAACGAGATGAGTGAAAGAGATTTGCAACTTGCTAGGGCAATGGTTGAACATGAACAGAACGGCGAGGTCACACCTACCAAAAGCATCATTAGCCGTATGCACGACAAGCAGCAGACGCTCAGGTGAGACTGGTACAAATATAGCGAGGGTTGTGATTTTCAGGGGAGGGCGGGTGACGTTCTGATGTATGTCTCTACTGCGTGCATGTCTCTTTCCCCCCAGCGACGACAAAAAACTTCGACCAGCATGTTTTTTGTCGCGTATTATCATAATCTCATATTTTAACAATTCCACTCTTGTTCTTTTTATGTTGACGATGTTTGGAAATGACATCACAACATAGACTTGGTGTCTATATGAAGAATGGTAACTTTTTTTTTGTTTCGAACACAAGAAATGTTGTAGTTTGGACATATTAAAAGACACGTGATATGATTGCTCATAAATGCAAATCTTTTTTCGTAAGCTTAATTTTCACGAATGACCGTGCGTTGTATTGCATAACACTTAGGCATATTAGAAATATTGACTGAAAATCAAACAATATACAGAACATTAAATGCTATTGGAATTATTATTATTAATGTCCTAAGTTAAAAATAATTATAATTTGGTTTCGTCGAAGAATTTTAAGTATAACAGTAAAGTTCAACGTCTTGGCGCTAGAGTGCGGTAAAAACGGGTATGTGCATTTAATAACACGAAGTGCGATGGTGGTGTAATGGTCAGCATAGTTGCCTTCCAAGCAGTTGATCCGGGTTCGATTCCCGGCCATCGCACATTTTTTTTAAGTTGAATAAATTTTAAGATATATTTAAATTTACATAATAATTTTCTTAAGACTAATTTCAATAATATTTTAATATTTTTTGTAGTAAAACACATAATCTTTGTCAATTTTTATGAACTTTGAAGATGAATGGTATCGGTTATTATAAATTTAACAATAATATTTTTTGGGATAGACATTCGCGATCATAATAAATTTTAGATAACCTACAAAAATTACGTAAAGATTTGTATAGTATTTTTTAACTTTAGTAGAAATTGGTTTCAAGAAATATTCTCATAAATTCCTCGCAAGTATTAATGTTTTAATCGACCAACTTTGGTAAAGCCGAAAAATATTTTGAATATGGAAGGGATATTATAAGAATGCTATAGTAAGAACCCAAGCAAAAGTGTCAATCATTTGTCGAAGGCAAATGATAATAATGAACATTTAAAATGCCTGTCAAAGTTATTATTGAATGTGTAAATTTTTACAAATTGATGTAATACATGTACATATTATAAAAAAATAAAACTAACTTAAAAATTGAAAATCATAAAAAATTATTATTGAATCTAAATTATTTTTCCTTTGTTTGGACGTTCAAAATTCATTGAGAAATATTCACAACTTATATTGTAAATATAGATATATTTCAATTAAAATGAGAAAACAATTTTGCACACTTTAGCTTACAAAGAGCAATTCCTATTCATTTTTATAAATATTAAAAGAACAATGAAAGATAATTTTATAACTCAGTTTATTTTTCTCTTTGAAGCAGCACAAATGCAAAGTTCGAGTTGACAGTTGAGCAAGTGGAGCCGCGAAGGTAAAACAGTTTGTTGATAATGTGCCTGTACGCTAGCGCCACTCAGCATGTATTAGCACAATCATTTTTCGCGAGCACCAATGTATTGTGTTACCCAATTGATAATGATGATTACTGTTTCTTTTCAAATTAACGTTGTTTTTAAAAACAAATAATTTAATGACCTCGTATGTCATATTTGTTATTTGTTTCATCTTATTTGTGTTTGCACAACTCTGTATAATTATTATTTGTCATACACAGCGATGGATATAATCATTATGACTAATTTATCTTAATTACAAAACTTAAAGATTTGTTTGATGATGCAAAAGAACAGAAAATCGAATATTTACAAGAATTGTTTTAAAAAATTAGTTGTGTTGGTATTGATTGAAATAGCAGTAAAGTAGTTTGCAATGGGCTAGTCTATGAGTTTGAGCATGGTTTTCTAGTGTAAAAATTAATGAAAGTGCATTTAATTAGCGCATGAAGCTGCATGCATGTGTCGTGAAGGTTTTTATCTTATCAAAACGTTCGTAGACAAAGTAAAATTAAATATTTAATGCTACAAAAAGTGAAGACAACAGGTGTTTGTGGAGAGATATAAAACGCTTCACTTTCACTTTGCGACGTATGTCGTGACCCAAATAAAAGCAACAAGGTAGATTAATCATCGGCGGACTCAATTAGAGTCTCAAACGAAGTCGCTTTCACAACGCGCGTGCGTGTGTGCATGAGCAAGGCGTGTACAAAGGGATCTCTTGTCAATCCGAATTGAGTAATGCACATTTAGCACGCTGCATAGGTTTTCTCGATGTGCAACCTAGTCGCTTGCCGGTCCATTATTTTTAGAGTTATTCGCTCGTGTGGTGAGTTAGAATCAAAGGTTGTGCAGTCATTGTCGTGCTTTGCTCTTAATGTCCCATGAAGAAAGAACGACGCGGGCACCCACTTTGTATAATTAGAAATTCTCAGTGTAAACACACAGACAGACTGCATCTGCGGCAGAAGAGTTCGTCGACCTCATTTCAATAATCGCACGTCAGCCGGCCAAACATAGTTACTGTACTTGCTAATAAATGCACACGACATAGCAGAGTCTAGTCAGCAATGCACATCGACATTTCACGTGCGCGACAACGCACTGCAGCTCGATCAATTTGCCGGCAGTTACGAGTTGAGCTCGCGCCAGCGATCATGTCTTTGTCGTCGTCGGCTAGCAGTGGCTTTTACTCTCTTGAAGATTTATCCGACTGGTGAGTTTGTAATTTATTAGGACAATCACTCTGCCGAGCTTATACTTTGGATAAGTATTCTTTTTAATTTCGAGAATCGCATTGCTGTAGGATTCAATTCAAGTGCATTCGGATCTCTTTGCATGTAGAATTCACATACAAATTCATATTTTATT